GCTTCCGAATGCACCTGCCCTCAACTAGGCAGAACAGAGACAATAAAATATCTAGGGGTCACAATGGATCAAACTCTCAGTTTTAAGCCTCATATTTCAACTCTTGTTTCTAGGTTGCGCAAACTTATATTTGTATTCAGTACACTAAGACACGTAGCTAATAGACAAACAATAAGAATGGTGTATTTTGCCTTATGTCAATCACTGATCGACTATTGTATCACTTCTTGGGGTGGAGCAGCCAAAACAACTCTTTGAAGTCGAAAAAGCTCAAAGAGCAGTACTCAAAAGTGGCTTTGGTCTTCCCTATACATTCTCTACAGTTAACTTATACAAACAATGGGACTTACTAACGGTACGACAAACTTTTATATTACAAACAGTTCTTAAAAAACACACCGAAACTAATACGATCCTGATTCAATTAAAGACAAGCGCAGGAAAAGCAAAGTCTGCCAACCCGAAAACTTCCAGACCAGACTTCCCCATAATTTTTATTGCTTCCTAGGAACATTTTTGTATAATAAAATTAATAAGTTTCTTTCAATTTATCCATTAAATAAAAGTCAAGTACTTTTAACACGTCAGTAACTGGCTGAAAACCATAAACTATGTAGATACCGAAAAATTGCTGACTTTCGATATTTAATTATTTATTTATCATTATTTTAAAGGTTTAATGTTTTTGGTTACTTTTTATTGCCTATTTACCTGATAGAATGTAAGCCTGTTAGCTGCTCTACTCGTAATTGTGCTTGATGCGATGGTCGTGAGTGTTAAACCCAAACTATTAACTTCTTCAGAAATGAAACGAACATCTATACACATATTATAACATGAATTGTTCAGTCTTTTCCTAACTCACAAACTGCTATTTTAATTTTATGGTCGATAATGGTGATGGCTGCCTACTGGATTTGGGATTCTTTGTTTGGTTTCTCAAAGGTATAATAAATATTTTTATGTATTACGTTTATTAAAGCATTTCTTAGATTACATGTAATTTTTTTCTCTCTGACAATGTATTTTTCAAATTTGGAGTAGGTATACAATTTTCCATTAAGATATGCAATACACGTATGGTTTATTTATCATAGTCTGGGCCTGGTGACCTGTTAGTACAGGTAGCTATTCGTAGTTGCCTTTTACGGGCACCAGTCTCCCACATAATAGGTTTATGTATTTGTATTGATTAAGTTAGTTACCTATTGTACTGTTACACCTTTTGCGAGGAGAAAATAAATGGTTTATTATTATTTATTATTACATGCAAACTTTCATTCCCTATTTTGGTTGTTTTCCAATTACAGAGCATAATGCGACTCAGTGGCGCACAATGCCGAATTATGCTGATGCATAATTGGAACGTGAATTAGTTTTCAAATGCACCAGCAGAGTGCGCTAAGTTCAGTGTTGAAAAAAAGTCAATGTTTGTACCTTCATCCATACTTATAATTTATTTTTTGACGTGACAACGTCTTAAATTAGGTTGCGGCTGGGAGTCACTTATGAAAAAGTGTAACGCTCGGTAACGTTACGATGAGTTTAAGTTTACATGTACAATGTTTTAGTAAACAAAATATATTTCTATAGTTAAAATTTGTGCAATTCTTATTTTCATTCAATTCCTTGTTCCTATTGTGCAATTTAATTATATTCATATCAATAAATATTTACCGAGAAAAAGACGTTGTCACGTAAAATCTTCGCCCGTAAAACCGACTTTACAGGCAACCATTTTTTTTAACAGTTTGAATGAACTTTGATTATTTAAAAAAAACTATTTAATGAAACGAAAGCTTTAATAATTTTTCAACAATAAATAATATTACTTACGATAACATATAAATAAAACATTTCGATCAATGCCAACTTAAAGAAAAAACACTTGTAAATTTTCTGTCACTGAGTTGGTACGATTGCACACATCGAAAGCATTACTTTTGTTTTGATTGTGCGAAGCGTTGCTGTAGTTGAAACACTCAACGTTAAGCATTATGATGCATAATGCGCTATAATGCTGTAATTGGAAAACTACCTATATCCCCTTGGGGGTAGAATTGATCAAAATCCTTTCTTAGCGGATGCCTACGTCATAACATCTACCTGCATGCCAAATTTCAGCCCGATCCGTCCAGTGGTTTGGGCTGTGCGTTGATAGATCACTATGTCAGTCAGTCACCTTTGAGTTTTATATATATAGATTCTAAAATTCAAATTTGGAATAATACATACGGGAAAGACGATGAAATATGCCAGCATAAAAAATGCATAAAATCTTTTTTTCATCCCACCACCTCGGAAAGTGTAATTTTGCGCTTCGAAATCTGGCTGGAAAATTCTATTTTATTCGCTTGAGCGGCAAAGTAGATTTGAATTTAGAACATCACATATAATGAGTACTCAATATAATTGTAAATTCAAAACGTCATTAAACCTATTTAATGTAACCTCTATGGTGCCAAATTTATGATTAGAACTTTTTAAATTGTGAAAAAATTTAAATTTGGAACCTTCTTGGTTTCTTTGTTTTATTTGCGTGCTTCGCGCCATTCTAGTTTTTCACGTTTTATTGCTTAAATATTTTGTCATTATAAATTGTTTTCTTTTTCATTTTGTCATTTCCTCGCTGAGGTGGGATGAAAAGTTACGTATTGCACTCGAGTGGAAAGATTTTTCACCTTGTGCTCGTTTGTTTCCCTCGCTGACGCTCAGGATTCTAATTTAGAATCACTCGCTGCGCTCGTGATTCAACTTTAGAATCCTTCGCTTGCTCGGTCATCCAAATCGAGCACGCGGTTAAAAAGGAACTTTCCACTCTTGTATAATAAATAACTATTGTTATATTGTATATTTTTGTGTATTGGGCATTTAGGCCCGGGAACGTAAGGTGGCTCGATTCAAGAGTCCGGGAGTGTAGTTCAGATAGATCAGTTTGAAGAGTAATAATCGTTAAACTTATGTATTAGAAAATTTCTTACCTGAAAACTAAACCATTGAAAGAAAACCATTTCACCTAAGCATTACAGCTCACATTTGGTGGTGGTCGAGTGTTCGTGTTCCGTCTTTCCGACTCAGCAGCAAACTTAAAACTAATTGAGGGGAAAATTGTACATTACTGTGAAACAATATTCCTTGATTTGTCTTGTTCCTATGTTTGTTCGCAGAGTTCCATCCGTACATTTTTATTTCATCTGAGTTTATAAATGCCAATTAAATGGCGTAAAATCTCATTAACAAAAAGTGGTCAAAGAGTAAAATTACATATAAACCTTAGAAAACAACAATTCATGAAACTTTTTATCAAAATTTTAAAATGATGACCTGCATTAAAAAAACCCGTTAATTAAGTCTTTATTTATGTTTTTATTTATTTTTTAAGCATTTAACTGCTAGATGTTTAAATCTAAAGAAAAGTTTTACTAGAAAAAATCCACGCGGACCAGGCAGCGGACGGAACTCGAACCCGCACCCTTCGCAATCCGGGCGAATGCACTGACCAATTATGCTACCACGGCCCTGATGGCCACGTCGAAATTTTCCTAGCCTTAAGCTGCAAGGCAGCGCCATCTCTTCGCATTGTAGGTAACCCACAATGTCAAATGAATACTTTTTCAAGTATTAAACATTTGAAAGAAGACATATCAATTATAGTTATGTTTTTATTTATTTTTTAAGCATTTAACTGCTAGATGTTTAAATTTAATGAAAAGTTTACTAGAAAAAGTCTCTATTTACTAATGTTTAAAGAAAATCTAAATCACAAGGAATTTATTAATCACACAAACTTTAAAATGTTTGCTATATTTTTTACAAATATCAATTGCCGATGCTTATCATATCATAATAAATAGTTACATAGCTTGCTATCCTTACTGAATTAAAATCGTGGTCAACGCAGGTTGACAGGAAATTATGAATGATTTGACAGCAATTCATTCTAATCAATTGTTAATAATTCATTGTCTAATGCCAGAACCTGAGCGATACCATATGTAAAATTACAAATAATATGTTATAGATATGTTATAATAATACTTTGCCCCGAATTCAATGATTTATAACCGATATATCACTCACTATGACCACACCGCCTAGAAAATAACATTAAAATAATAAGTAATATTAGCAAATAAATTATAAATTTTTTAGACCGGTATGAATGAAACATTTGATAAACATACTAATCGGTTTGTTATTTGTCTGGCGCAATTAAAGTCTCAGCGGATTAATGTGAGCGGCTCGAAAACTTCGCAATCTAACGCAAAAGCGATGATTGATAAATAAAAATACAAAATTTTATTCTTAATCTATACACCTGAATGCGATTACTAAAATACTGCATGCTATTCTTTTCTACCTTAGTGGTAGTTGCAGATGCAAGTAATGCAAAGTTTTTGTATTATATTGTAATTAAAATCGTTGCTAGTTGGATAAATTTCATTTCTTCATTTGTATTTGCTTTTTCAGTGCTCATGTAAAATGAATCTTCTATCAAATTTTGATATAAACCTACACACTTGCGTTATAGAGCGAGGCGCAGCAGCGGGCTGTGGCTGTAAGGCTGTGACAGTCAAATAGCGCGCGTTCCCCCGCGATTGCGAACACTTCTGGCTAAGCACAAAAAATGTTTGCTCATTCACTATTTATTTTTGATGCACGTCTACAGAAACATATTTGTTTTATGTTTAGTCATATAAATAAAAATGAATCGCCAAATTGTATGTACGCGCATAACTTCGGAATGGCTGCACCGCATTAAATATAATCAGCCAAATCAATCAAGCACGGTTAAGTGATATTACAACATATATGTGAAAAATCCAGTTTTATTTATATTGATATAATTTGAAATAAGTAAATACAATATAAATAAAACAATATTTAAAATTCTCAACTGTGTATTCTAAAAGCCGTGATTTTATATGAGATTTTTTGTTTATTAATGGAATAGGCATACTTAAAAATTAAACTTACTAATGCAATATGTTTCTTTGTAGTTGTGCCCTGTGCCTAGAAAAGTTGGAAAGATTGAACAGTCAGAAGGAATACAAAAAAAATGTGTACAAATGTAAAACCGAGGAGGCGGAGAACATGAGAACAATAATGAGATTACTTTTTCCAACTGAAATATTTATAGCAGTTGAAGAGTATATTGATGTAAGTAACAATCATTATAAAAATTGATTACAGTATAATTGGTATATGGATCCCAATACATATATAATGATTACTTTTTACAGGGTGTTCAAAGTACTTCTTTAGGCATGTCGGTAAGTGTATCAATAAAAATTTTAACATCATTAGTACGAATAATATTATTCAGTAAAAAAAAATACCTAATTTATAAGAAAGAAAGGAATAAGGCTTAGGCTCATCGGCTTTCACTCACTGTCATGAACTGAGATTCAAATTTAGAACTCAACTGAAATTCGAAAGTGCATTCAGAAAGTCGTCTACAAAGGCATATAGCTTGTCCGAAGATAGTAGATGAAAATGAAATATTTTAAAACATGTTTTGCAATTGAAACGCATTATTTTCGAAGACTTATTAAACCCTCTGAAGAAATTTTATGGTAAAATAACGCATTTTAGCTGTCACATACCTATGAAAAAAAATATTGTACTTGTTATATTATGAAAAAAAAAAACTTAAAATCAAAATAATTTACTTTTTATCTTTGGTTTATTTTTAACCAGTCTTTTTACCTAAAATGTCTTTTATACATTTCAGACATTTTGCTAGTAGGTCATTTAACTTTAACGTCATTTATTCCTTTAGGGCATTTTACTTGATTGTCCTTCTGATATGGGGGGGAATAATGCATCTATAGAAAGAGTACAATCTTGCGTGGGTCTCGCTCGACAATCTTTGATATTAGAAAAGAGTAAGAATTACTAAGATAAAATAAAGTGTAATTTATAATTTTAGGTACCGATGCAGTTAATGGTACATAGATTAATCGAGGATAGACTCTCAAATTCCAGCAATATGATGGACTCTGTGAGTATTATATGTATATACATATAATTATCTTATATAAGATAATTTATATATTTAATAATTTATCCGGAACTTTTTAAGAATATGTATATTACATAAACTCTCTCTCTCTTGTGCGCCTAAATAGATCGCTTACAACTGCATTGATTAACTCACACGAAAGATAAAATTACCGCGTGCAAATAGTCCCCCGAAAAACCGAGGTCACAGAGACATAGGACTGGACAAATGTACACGGGCAACGCACATAGCTAACTTTATTACGCGTTGTCTTTCAAAAATTCACGGACCGTGTATTATAACATTTGTCTACTAAAATATTTTGTAATTTGTTTTTAAATATATTATTGTTCACGGTACTGTCTCGCACACTTTCAGGTTATTTACTGTAAATATAAGGAGCATTGCAAAACCCACTTTTCTTAAATAGTGCCGTATTACAGAGGACTACGCAAAGTTTTCCAATATGACGTTCACGAGTTCTGGCCTTAAATAATGTTATGTTACTTTTATCAGAGACAGCGCATTCAAAAATGTAAAAGCACGGTCAGATGATTCTGTAGGTAGTACATACATAGATCTCGCGCCCGTGTAAAATGGCTGACATACGGGTGATGGATCTCGACGAGTCCATCACCCAAGCAGACGTAGCGGCAGCAGTGGCCGCATGTACCCCAAACGACGTGAAGGCCGGGGAAATACGCGTCAGCCGCGCTCGCCTAGGGACGGCGTGGGTAAGGCGTCCGCGGATCCTGATAGGATTATGGACCTCCGCGAGGGTCGAGGCACTGGCAGCCCGGCCTCTACAGTGCCACCGGTGCCTCGAAAGAGGGCATGTCAGGGCAATGTGCCAATGCCCGAATGACAGGAGCACCCGCTGGTACAGGTGCGGCGAGCCAGGGCACATTGCCTGACTCTGCACCGCGAGTGCTCCTCGCTGCCCTGTCTGTTCAGACCTAGGGTGTCCGGCGGATCATAGGATGGGGAGTAAAAAGTGCTCCCCACCTAAAAGGATGGCGGGGGTTGATGCCCAACCCCCGCTCCGGCCCAGAGGCGAGAGGAAACCGTGGACATCTAATAATGGATGTCCATGGTAAGGTACTGCAGGGCAACCTTAACCACTGCCGCGCAGCGCAGGACCTTCTGATTTTCATTCTTCTGATCCAGACGCTCGCGGAGTGTAGGTTCGCACTGGCGGTCGTCGCCGAGCCCTACTCTGTCCCGAACCACCCAAGGTGGTTACTCCCTGTTATATCTCCCCGAACTGCGGCCTCGCCGCATTCGAAGCATTCCTGGACGGGCTGGCGAACTGCGTTCGCGGTTGCGCCCCCCGTCCGGTTCTCGTACTGGGTGACTTCAACGCCCACTCGAGAGAGTGGGGTGACAAACGGGACGACGTAAGAGGAGAGACACTCCTGGAGTGTGCGGCGGGACTGAACCTTCGGCTTCTAAACCAAGGTTCAGTCAGCACCTGCGTGCGGTGGCAGGGAGAGTTGATCGTCGACCTGTCGTGGGCTACTCCCGCTGCGTACCGCATGGTGTCGGGTTGGAGGGTTGCGGAGGAGTAGGCCACACTGTCCAACCACCGTCACATTGTATTCGATGTGTCCCTCCTCCGCCTTTCCCGTTCACTCCAGGAGGACAGCCGTCCGCGACGCTGGTCCATCAAGCGGCTGGACCGAGACATGGCCCTTGCCGCCGCACACGTCGCGGACTGGTCGGAGGAGGAACGGATCCTGCCCGATCTCGAGACGCAAGCGCGAGCATCCTGGCTCGGGGATACAATGACGTCGATCTGCGACGTCTCTATGCCCAGAGTCAATCCACCCCAGCGGAGCACTGCATACTGGTGGAATGAGGAAATCGCGCGGCTTAGGATCGCAGTAATAGCCGCGCGACGCCAGTACCTCAGGGCCCGCAGAAGAAGGCAAGCCTCAGTCGAGGAAGTCCTGAGTACCAGAAGGGCATACGGAGCCGCTGCCAAGGCGATCAGCATCGCCATCGCTGACGCCAAGGCGGGGTAGTGCAACGAGCTCCTGGAGGGACCGGAAAGAAATCCATGGGGGCGCCCGTACAAAATGGTACTGGGCAAGCTCCGATCGTGGGTCCCTCCTCTGACGGAAACCCTGGACCCCGATTTCGCGGGAAGAGTGGTGGATACGCTCTTCCCGAGGGTCCAGGACAGTCCCTCCGAAGCGCCGCCGCCCGCTCCGTCCGCTCGCAACGACCAACCTTCACCTGACAGCGACAAATGCTGCAAAAAAAATCTTGAAAATGTTCCTGTAGACATCCAACTGCAAAGTGGACACCAAAAAGCAATCGATAAAAACAGACAAATATTGTCATCAATTATTTCTTGTGTAGTATTTTGCGGTACACATGATATGGCTCTTAGGGGAAAACAAGCAGATGAGGGCGTTTTATTAGATTTATTAAAGTTGAGAATCAATTCAGGGGACGACAAATTAAAGAGTCACCTGGAAAAGTGCCGTCGCAATGCAGTTTACACATCGCCAAAAATACAAAACGAATTGATTAATTTATGTGGCGAAGTTATTATGGAGAATATAATAAGTAAGGTTCAGAAGACCATGGCTTACGTAGTCTTAGCTGATGAAACAGCAGACGTAGCTGGGAAAGAACAGCTATCAATAGGCGTGCGGTTCTACGACGAAAGCAAAAGGAAAATCAGAGAAGAATTGGTAGGGTTCGTTGAACTAAAAGCACAAAATGCTTCAGCAATTGCCGAAGCAATTGACAATTTTTTGATTAGTTCTAACCTCCCAACAGAAGATTGCTTAGGGTTTGGATTCGATGGCTGTTCTACAATGGCAGGGAAAGAGGGTGGCGTACAAGCCATTTTGAGAAAAAAATATCCTCGTGCTTTATATTTTCATTGCTCAAGTCACAAACTCAACCTTGTTGTGAAAGACGCGAACGCAGTGCCAGAAATTAGAAATACTGTCGCCACTGTTAAGGATGTTATAACATTTTCAGAGAATCGACTACTCGTCGTAACTACGCTCCAAACCTATCACGGTTGTGTGAGACGAGATGGTCCGAAAAATATAAATCAATCAGAAAGTTTTCTCAACATTTTCCAGAGCTCGTGAAATCTCTAGAAACGTTATCCTTAGAGGGAAATTATGCCACCAGAAAATCTGCATATCAGTTGCATTCAGCCGTTACAAAACCAGTGTTTATTGTTGCTCTACAAACAATAGCCAAATATTTAGAAGTTTTAGAACCAATAGTTAACGCACTGCAAGCTAAATCGATCGACATGATCTCGGTGGGGGAACACATCAAAAATATCAAGGACATTCTCAGAAATGACCGCGAGTTTCCTGATAAAATAAGTAATGAAATACGAGCTGTTGCAATGGATTTGAACATAGAAATTTCGGTTCCACGTCTTGCTCATAAGCAAACACATAGAAGTAATTCGCCATCTGACAATGATAACGAATATTGGCGGCGTTCTCTGATAATACCATACATTGATTCACTCATTTCATCGTTGAATATTCGATTCTCCCAAGAAAATACTCCGGCGTTTGCTTTAAGTAAGCTACATCCCTTGTATATGACCAAAACCAGTATTACAGACTTACACAAGAACGCAGAATCATTTCAAGAATTTTATAACCTTTATATCACTGGAGAACTGAACCTTTGGCATAATTTATGGATGAAGAATGCTTTTTAAGATGATCAATTAAGGGATATAGAAGTAGTTGATCTGTTCAACGAAGCCAATATTTTTTACCCTGCTGTCAGAAAGGCATTGATTATTTCAAGCACTATCCCATGCACCACGGCGACCATAGAACGGTCCTGCAGTACGCTTGGAAGAGTTAAAACGTGGCTTAGAAGCACCATGGGTGAAAAAAGGCTTACGGGTTTATGTCTGATGAGCGTACATCGCAATTATTTAAAAGATCAGTGAGTTTATTCAAAAGACTGTCATAGACAAATTTTCGGCGGCAAATCCGAGAAGATTACTTTTAAATTAATATATGTGTATTATGATTATTATATATATTTAATATTTTGTTTTGTGTCATAATCAAACTAATTAATAGGCAATGAAGAACCACAGGCAATTTTTTACTGTCCATTGTTCTATCAATAAGACTACGGACAAATAATAGAAAAAAAAAAAGTATTTATTGATTATTTTCCTGTGAACCCTTCGCTGTTCTCTTGAGAAACGGTAAATATAAAATTAAATTTTATTGGCTTGGCCGCAAAACCCTAATAATTATTTGATCTATTTTTATAAAGAAAAGAAGATGTTTTTTCCCCATTTCCATTACCAGAACCTCTTAGTCATTTATCCTCTTGGTACTGTTTTTCAAAATAAAGATTTATATGTTCTTCTTTTTTTGATGACTCGATAGGGATTTACCCACAGTTCCGCCAATTTCACGTAGATAGCTACTGCACGACAGGGATTCTTAACAACACAAGTTAGAAACAGATTTATGTGTTTATTGTAGTTTTAATGTAATCTTGACAAGGGGATATATGTTTCCCAAACCTAAGGGAGACAACAGTCGGACATCAAATAATAACTGGTAAGGTAATAATTGACAAACTCATTTAGTCACGGGACTTTAGAACCGGTTACATTTCACAATATTAACGTTCACAAAATTAGGACTATTGCCCGTACAAAATAATTATTACTATTACAGTCCTACTAATACGAATAAAAAAATGTTCATGGTACTACCAGTAAGATTGCCATTTGACATATCATTATTTATACATGACAGACCATTGTCCATACAAATAATTGCTAGGTGCCCATGTTCCTACTGATAGAGCTACGGACAAAACAAAAACCCCTGGAACTACCAGTAGGATCACATGGTAGAACCACGGACAATAAATGAAAATTTGAGCGATTAAAAGAGTTACACTATTTGTCTAATTTGAATATAGGAATTGCCTTAGGAGGAGCTCGGTGGCGAAACTGGTTAGCGCGTCCGACTGCGATCGTTGAAGTTAGGCAACTTTCGCAGTGGTCATTGGATGGGTGATCAAAAATTTACTATCTCGAGCTCCTCCGTGCTTCGGAAGGCACGTTAAGCCGTTGGTCCCGGTTGCATCTGCAATCGTTAGCACCCATCAATCCGCACTGGGCCCGCGTGGTGGGTCATGGCCCAATCGGGAGAGACCCACTGCTGAGGCACAGGCCTTCCATATGGATGGAATAGGGATATTCCATCCATATGGAAGGCCTGTGCCTCAGCAGTGGGGACATTAATAGGCTGATGATGATGATGATGAATTGCCTTAGAAATTTTAAGTTGACCGTTGGTCCCGGTTGCATCTGCAATCGTTAGCACCCATCAATCCGCACTGGGCCCGCGTGGTGGGTCATGGCCCAATCGGGAGAGACCCACTGCTGAGGCACAGGCCTTCCATATGGATGGAATAGGGATATTCCATCCATATGGAAGGCCTGTGCCTCAGCAGTGGGGACATTAATAGGCTGATGATGATGATGATGAATTGCCTTAGAAATTTTAAGTTGACGACTTTTACCTATTTTTTTATTTAAGTAGTTTTAATTAGTTTGTAATATAATAATTTTATTCTTTTTCAGATACAATCCTCATCATTGAGAGAGCTTTTAGTTGGATATTTACTTGACTGTACGTATCACAATTTTATGTCTTTCAATGTACAAATTACATTAACATATTAAAATGTACTTACATATTATTTCCTATTGTAGCAACTTCAACGTCAGAGAGATTGTCTCCGCCCGAAACCTGGTCAAACCTCTTACGCAGTGATTTAGATGTATCTAGGACTACTGTATCAAGCTCCGATTTATCTACAAATGGGTTAAGTAAACTGTTTAATGGACACAAAGCCACAAAGCAGCAGACAGACACATCCCTTTCGGTTCATCATCGGTAAGTATTCTAATGTGAAGTTAACCGTACTTAATAGATATACGAGGGGTGATCCAAAACTAATGATAATAAATATTAAACAACATGATTATAGTTTTTTTTTATTTTATGTTTATACATGTCTCCTAACAATTTTATACATTTAGTCCCATCTTTTTTCTGAACCTAAAATTCCCCTTGAAAAAAAAACTTTTTCTTGACTCTCCAAAAAAGTCTCTACAGCGGCCATCACTTCGCTATCGTCTTCAAATTTCTTACCTCGGAGGTGTTTCTTGAGCCGAGGAAAGAGATAAAAGTCGCTGGGAGCTAGATCTGGCGAATAGGGTGTTCGACCAATTGGAATCCCATTTCTTGAATGGCAGCCATCGCAACTGCGGCTTTGTGAGCCGGTGCATTTAGTTCGAGGCGCCAGTTCAGGTACTTCTTACTTATCACACACGATAAGAGTAAAGACACTAGTATGTTTAGTAGTGGTCCGTGCACATTCGAAATTTCATATGCGGTCCTCGAACATAGCTCCCGGAAATCATGGCCTATTTATATGATTTTTTTAGCCCGAAATAGTGGGTAGTATAGCAATATTTGGATTTTTAGGTGCAGTAGAAATATCCGATTATTATTACTTTTGGATCACCCCTCGTATTTCCTATGCACATAATGTTAATAACAAAAGCACCAAAAGGAAAATGCCTATTACAGGGTGGCCCAAAACAACTTCTTGTTTCTGCCGACGACAAAAAACCTCTGTCTTTGGAGATGGCAATTTCTACCACGAGTTAAGAAAATTATTTTCATTTTCTAACTCCATACCAAATTTTATTAAAATCGCTCCAGCCATTTAGACGTGAAGAAGTAATAAACATAGACACACACTCACAAACTTTCGCCTTTATAATATTAGTGTGATGACAAGGGTGTATTGTTGTCAAAGGAGTTTGCTCAAATTGGCCCAAATGCACAAAAAATACTGACATACACGGTAATTCTTGGCGTTATTTATAATTTAATTTACAGTCATTAGATTTCAACGGACACCTTTGTATAATATATTCACTTTAAAAAGGACTTTTCATTTTACCGGTTTGGAAAACATACGTATCACTTAATGGCTATGGGTGTAGTAACATTCAGCCAAAGACTGATCGAAGTTGTTTATATTACAAAAAAACAAATTTATTTTGTAAAGATCGATAAAATAAATATTTTTTTTATTACACTGTGGTATTAATATCCACAACTATATTATCATTTTCACTACATGCAAATGTGCTCAGACAATTATTATAGATGGTAGGCGACATCATAAAGTCTATTACCATACATTTTTCACCAAACACCTTATAATCTGTTTAGACTTTATGGTATCTATCTATGGGCCTACGTTGCCTAACTATAAATAAATAAAATTATAAGGTGTGAAACACTAAAAATCTAAAATATGGTTATATTAAAAATATAACAAAAATAATGAAGCTACTGAATATATGGCTGTCCTAAATCTCTTAGCTTTCTGTGGTTAACGAAAGTTTAAAAATTCTCTCTAATCTGTGGCTCATTCACAATCATCACACAGTTTCTGTCACAGAGTACCTTATTATAACCGGAAATAACACCTGATTTTAAAAGTTACTCTTATGCATTAACTTTAAAAAAAGGCAACTATCTGTTAATCTACATGCTCTATATACCTGAATCTAATCAATAATTTCGATACTTGGCTTGATTTCCCTAGTTTACTATACATATAACTTATTTGTTTTTTATTATTTTAATATGTTCAGTGTATATGGTTTATAGAAGTTCTCGGGGGTGTCCGTCAATAATATTCGTTTCTACAGTAATTTATATATAATTTCGAATCTAGGAAACAATTTTTCATGATTATTGGTCTTTAGGCCAAACATGTATGGAAGCTGAGCAATCTCCTTTAATTTTATGTTTAGAGAATCATGCTGAGAATCGACACCAATAGCTTAATAAAGTGAATTTAAATTTTAAAATAAGGATCATGTCAGTTGAATTAATATAAAATAAATAATTTCGCTGCTGCTTAAGTTCGGTATATTAATTTGGTTAAACATTATAAATGAATTTTAAAAAATTATACTGAGTAACTAAGTAAAGATAGGGATACCTACTAAATAACGAAAAAACAGAAATGTTGTCAAAAACTGTAATTCATATTAATGATAATGAAATTTAAAGTGTATTTAATGAATTAGCAAGCTTTTTTAATATTTCGTTGCATGGCCTTTGGAAGCTAAATAGACAACATCGCCTTGACATTGATGCGATCAATTTGCTGCAAGTTTGTATTGCAATTTGCCCCCTTGTTTTAAAAGCTTCATAAAGCTGGTGATTATTAATGACGTAATAAATTAATTTTTTTTAATAGAGGTAATGTAAGAAAATTATAATTATCTTTAATTATGTGACCACCACTGTATATATAAATCCATACTCGAGAATACTACTGATTTGAAATGGTGTTGCAAAAATATATTCTAAATATAAAGAATATTGTTACAATTAAACCAATCCCTAATTACTAGTAAGTAATTATTAAAGGGTAAATAAGGAGCTCGATGACGCAAGTGGTTAGCGCGTTCGGCTGCGATTGTTGAACTTAAGCAACTTTCGTAGTGGTCGGTCATTGGATGGGTGACCAAAAATTTACCATCTCGAGCTTCTCCGTACTTCGGAAGGCACGTTAAGCCGTTGGTCCCGGCTGTATATGCAGTCGTTAGCACCCACCAATCCGTGGTGGGTCATGGCCCAAACTCCCTATTCCATCCAAGGGGAAGGCTTGTGCCCCAGCAGTGGGGACATTAATAGGCTGATGATGAATTATTACAACATTGTGGGGTTGATCCAGAGCTATATATACACGACGTTGTATTCTTACAATGTGGGACAAAAAATAGTTGTGTTCGTTTGTAGTTTAGACACTGCTCACTATGGGAACATAACGCAAACTTTTTTAACGTACTTAACGTACTTGTAGCTCGTCAGCTAATTAAAGACAGTTAAAGCTGTGTTCTGAATTTAAAAAAATAAAGAAAAAATTGCATTCTGTTTTTCTTTGTTTTGCCGCGTATTTTCATGAAACGTCGACATTACCATATAAAACCTACTTTTTTAATTAAAATTAATACGTTTTAAACCCAGCAATATGGGAAAAAACAAGAGTTGCGATTCGTCCACTAGGAAGATTATTTTCAACTTTCATAATAAAGATTGGTCATACAGAAAAATAGCAAACCACTTGAACTGTTCTAAGGACATGGTTATGAATGCTATAAAACATTTCAAGAAGTTCAACACGACCGAAAACGTACCAAGAAAACCGTTCAAGGGATCAGAACTGATACGTTCGGAGTTGTTTGGTGCAGGAGGGTCGAAGGGTGTGTCTTCAAGAACAATTAGACAGAGACCATGTGAGGCGAACTTGTACGGACGGAAATGTTAAGGCAAGATTAGCATTTGCTAAAAATATGTACACTGGGCTGAACGAGAATGGAAACATGTGCTTTTCTCTGATGAAACAAAAATTAATATGATTAATACTGACGGGAAACAATATGTTAGACGCCCTCCGAACAAAGAAATAGATCCAAAGTATACCAAGAAAGTAGTTAAACATGGGGGCTGAAATATCAAAGTTTGGGGCTTTTTCTCAGGACTTGGTGTTGGACCTGTCAGAAAAATAGAAGGCAACATGGATAAATTTCAGTACAAGAATATTTTAGAACAAGCCATGCTGCCCTATGCTGAGCAAAATTTACCGGTCATTTGGACTTTCCAATAGGATAATGATCCGAAACACACTGCAAAAGTAATAAAAGACTTTTTAAGGAACCAGTCTGTGACAGTTTTGGATTGGTCCCCGTACAGTCTGTAATGGTATTCGTCTCCTTTCCCTGCTCCCACTAGCTTACTTCAGAAAACCATGAAAACAAAAAATGGGGTAATTTAATATTTTGTACTTACCTCTCCATCACTAAATAATTTAGATATTATAAAAATGGAGTGGTATCAATTCTAAGTAAGCATTCATAAAAGCAGTAATGAGGTATACAATGGTTCCCTAGGCTCCATCAAAGATATTTTACTTACTCTCTTGTTAACAGTAACTAAGATATTACAAAAATGGAGTTTTACAAATTCTAAGCGTTCAAAAAATCCTGTAGGTAAAGATACAGGAGTTCTAAGGTTATATTTAATTAAGAGTCATATTGGCAATTGAGAGACCACAACAATAGACTTTTCTTAATTCTACACATTCACAAAATCTCATAAGGAATTCTTAGTTTTCAATAAGACAACCAGTTATACACAGTCAGGTCATAAGTATTGTCACACAGTAAAACCTTTTTTTTGAGAATGCTGGCCACAAAAAACTTTATTATTGAAATCGAATTTCGAATTGTTCATGAATATAAAAATTTATACTGTTTAGAATTTTACTCTTTTTTAAATATGGAGTGGACGCTTAAAGAAGACCGTGTTGCAATTATTGCGTTGCAATCCGTTGCATCGTCGCGGTTACGCGCCAATTCAAATTTTTGACATACTGAAAATTTTGAATATAACCAAAAGATTCGTTTATCGTACCATCAAACGTTACAATGAATACTCTAGTGTAGATGACAGGTCAAGAAGTGGTCGCCCTCGGTCTGTTAGGACTCCAGCAGTGATAAAAGCTGTGATGGCGCGAATTCAAAGAATTCCCAAACGTAAGCAGAAACTGTTGGCCCTTCAGATGGGGTTAAGCGAAAGGTGAAAAGGGTGTTAAATGAAGACTAAGGGCTTCGGGCATATCGAAGAAAAACAGGACATCGTTAGAATGCTCATCTAATGGACCTGAGACTGAAGAGATGCCGCGCTTTGTTGAAGCGGTACGCGGGAAAATCATCCCAATTTGGAGTCACTCAAGACATCCTTGATTAAGGCAGCCGCCGATATTGACATGGACCTCGTTCGTGCTGCGATAGACGACT